TATTGCTTATTACCAACCCAAATAACATGCAGAAGTATTGCATGTGAGTAGGAAACATTAAGTTTCAGAAATAGTGCCTGGACAGATATCATAGAAATCAGTATATGCATACATTGTACCTTTGAACTAAGACCTTTAAACATTCTAATTCATGTCCCCTAATATTACAGTGTAATAATATGTAATTATTTAAAACCTAGAAGGCATTACTTTAGTCCCACAGTAATCCCATAAAATACATTAAAGTTTAGTAATTTATATTTTTATACTCAATTAAAAAAGGGCTAGCTCTTCCCTTTTCTGACTAATATAAAAATGCTACTTTAAACAGAGCATGGTGGCGCACACCTATAATCCCAGTGCTCGGAAGACTCGGGCAGGAGGATGGCTGCAAGTTCAAGGCCAGCATGGGCTACACAGTGAGTTCAAGAACCGTCCTGCAGCACTACAAAGGAACCCCAGTCTCAAAAGAACCCCCCCAAAAAAGGCTATTTTAGTTCACTAAATTTTCAGACCTTATTTTTGGATTTGATAATATTGTTAGTAATAACTGATCATTTTTTTCTGGCTCTAATAACCCAATCCCATTAGGAAAGCCATGCAATGATTCTCACCAAGGATAATTTTGCCACCTCTATCCCAACCTCTGGAAATATCTGGAGACATGTATGGTTGTCACAGTGGGGGAGGCTTCTACTAATAGTTGGTGGAAGAGACTACGGATGCTGTTGCTAGCTCCCGCAACCAGCTCCAAATGTCAACAGTACAGAAACTCAGAAACTGGTATGGATGATTAACAATGAAACCTCTAGGGCCAGACTGCCTTGATTCAAACCCCAACTCTTACTACTTACTAGCCATGTGATTGACCCTGGGCAAGTTGACTTCTACGCCTCAGTTTCCTCATCTCAGGCTGGGGAATAGGGCACCTAACTCAGAGAGGCAATGAGGATTAAGTACAAATACATGCTATAGTTCAAATTAAAAAGTAGCAAATGACTCAAAGTACAAGCAACACATGCAGTCATCCCTTCTAGTGTGTTCTCCTTTTCAAATACTAACACTATACTAACATTCTCTATCACCTATGAAGTCATGAATGTTAACTGCTCTAATCACACACTTTGCTACTTTGTTTTTATTTTCTCTTTTTTGGTACTGGGGATCAAACTTGGGACCTTGTACTTGTAAGGCAGGTGGTGGAACCACTGAGCTAAATCCCTGGCCCGCTACTTCATGTTTGTGTTTACTTGCTGTATTAATAAATATAATTCGATTGTCTTCTGAAAAAATATGACACTACACTACATACAGGTTACTCAGGGATTTGAGATATATACTGTGTAACATTAAAGCTAGTCTTTTCTTTAGAACCATCAAATTATAAAGCACATTTCTTTGGTCCTACAACAAATATAGGTCACTCTGATAATCATAATGCAAGGGCATTTACATAATTTAGTCTGATCCGATATTGTCCAAATGCAGAAATACAAAAACTAGATCTTGAATCACTAACTTGATTATGAAATAAGAAGTATTTCCCTCCCTCTTCTTTTGCATTCTATCCAGGACAACAGGCAAAAAATTGTCCCTAAATATTATTTATCTGACAAATGTTCTTACATAAAATAGCAGTTACTTTTTCCCTTAGAAATCAACTGATTACCAACAAAAAGTTTCCTTTCTTACTTATCCTTTTATATGTATCCTCTAAAAAGGTCTCTACAATTAATAAAACTTCACATTCACTTATATTGATATTATGCTTGATTACTTTATTATTAACTACTTCGCTTTCCAAAATTTATTCACAGTATATGAAATCTTTGCAAAGGCAATGGATACTAGGCACCATTATTTTTAAAACAAGCTCTTTTCTGGTATACAGGAAATAAGTCTAACACAATGGGAGATTTTTAATTATTTTCCAACTCTAAGGAAGAACTCTCTCTACCCTTTAAGTATACTGGCCGGGTGTGGTGGCACATGCCTATAAGCCCAATATTTGGGAGGCTGAGGCAGAAGGTTTACCTTGATTTGAGACCAACCTCAGCTACACTGTATGTTCAAGGCTAGTCTAAACTATATATTGAGACCATGTCTCAAAAAAATACAATAAGAAAAAGAACTAAATACAATGGACCCGCAAGTTACAACCAGTTGATATACGAACAACTTGGGATAATTAGATTAATGGAAGATTCATTTGCCTTTTGTTATTTATATCATGTACCCAGGTAAACATCCAGATCTCAGCTATATCGACTACACCAACCAACAAGTCAGAACTAGCCCTTGGGAACCAATTTAGCTTGTAAGTTAAGGGTCCACTGTATATTAAAACATATGGACATATAATATTTAAAATAGAGAACACTTAATAAAATGTGGCAGGAAAAGCCAAGACTGATATTAAACAAAATTTGTATTTAGAATTGTAACTACTTTCACCAAGTATGGTCAATAGTAAGTTAAGCTCAACAAATGTTTTAGATCCCTAGTATTCCTTCTTGACTCAAAGCTACAAGTCGTCTTTAAAACATAAAGGCATGTAAAGTACTTAATAAAGTTTAACCAACACTTGTTATTTTGGTACTCTACATCAATATTAAAATGTATATAGGCAGATTTTACTCACATTTGATTCTTTGCTGCTTGCCTCTGAGCTTTTCTTTCTTTCCTTTTCTGGTCTGGTGGCTTAGCAAAAACAATTTCAATATTTTCTCCTTCCAAGTCTTTGCCATTCATTTCTTCCATAGCCTTAAAAAAAAATAAAAAATAAAAAAAATAATAAAATAATCAGTATAAAAAACAATCTTTCAAAAAAAATCTTTCAGAACTGACTCATTTAGGCCGGGCATAGTGCCACACGCCTGTAATCCCAGCACTCAGGAGGCTGAGGTAGGAGGATCACTGTGAGTTCAAGGCCAGCCTGGGCTACATAATGAGTTCCAGGTCAGCCTCAAATACATAGT